CCCCCGTACCCCGCGTTTCTTCGATACAGATCCGCCCAAGTGCCCTGAACTAGCCCTGTTTGAATCCGTTCTCCGATAAAGATGGTCCGACTAATCCTATGGCCTCTCTTTTATTTCTCAGATATTACTCAAACCTACAACAAACTTCTTTCTTTCGCATACAATAAATTATAAGTGCTTGTTATACTTTCTTTTTTTGAGGCCGGGCTAAATGCAAAATTCGAATTTGTCTAAGAAATAACTTCGAGTTTAATGAACCAGAAATAAGATCAACCTGATTAAAGGTCTTGTTACCGTTAGTCCATTTTGAGTTTTCATTCTTGTTTTTAATTTTGATCCTTCGCCAACAAACACTATTATCGGAATCTGTGAGACCGATGTGGACAAGTGAACCAAGTTTCATCCGCACCTTTTAAAACACGGAAACAATTATCTGCAAAACTTTTAATAGAAAAACATTTGGAGCATCTAATTTATGTTACACAAAACAACCGACTGGCACAGTCCCATCGGTCAATTCTAGATCCAATCCAATATTTTTTATTAAAAAAATACAGTTTTGTGTCTTCCATACAAGTAAAATTATACATTTAATTATCTTTAAGTATTCTCCGGACATAAATCAAACAAAATCAGAAATTCGGTAATGCGCTTATGTTTATGGTAAGATAATCGAAAAGTCAGGCCCATTTATTTTTTATTTCCTATAGAAAATGCTTGTACGCAACTGGTTTTTGATATAACCAATTCTCACAATGGGGTGTAAAATGTAGAATAATTTGAAGCAATAATCATTTTATGGTTATGGCTTATGACGGATTGAAGCTGAAGCGACCATCTGGAGAATGCGGCAAGTCTCTTTTTTTAATTCACCTGCGTTTATGTATTTATAATGTGACGATCACACTCATTTATTTTCTTTTAGGGTCTATACATATATTGTTAACATTATTTATAACTAAAGTCAGATTGCCTTAGCTCAGCATAGATTTTACAATTTTTTTATACTTATATAAAGTTTTTACGAATAGAAAAATTATTTTATATTGGTTTAATGCAAAATTATTTCCATGACGTCATTTGCACAGCAATTGAATGTTGAATTGTTGAATGTTTCCAAAATTAAAAATAATTAAAAATTACTTTTGTAGTTGTGCAAAAAATAACCAAATCATATTATATCGTAATTGACATGTCGTAGAAATAATCGTATAGACTTAAATAGATTTTATTGAAAATTACTGACTGAACTCGCTATCACAAGGGTGAATTTGATCCATTTTCTCCAAGGAGATTAGGTGAAATTGAAAGGGTTGAAGAAAATCACTTTCTGAAATTGTAAAAATTTAATATATATATATAATGAATCACCGTTGTAGAATAATATGTTTTGGCATTCAGTTGCCATCATCAGGATGAAATAGAGTTACATATATTGAAATTGAAATTGTCATAAAAATATTAAAATCTCAAATTTGGACCTAATTTTCAACAATATGTTGACCCAAAAATAAAAATAAAATGTCTTGATCACTTCGAAACGGCATTGGCTTCACTACCCTTCCCATTATTTCATCATTTTAATTTTAAATAACCACTAGAATAATGTGTTAATTCTATTCCGTGGTTGAAGATGATGAAAACTGATTACCGAAACATGTCCCTAATTCATTAAATTTTTACAATTTGGGGAAATGACCCTTTCTTTATCACAATAAGGGTTATCATTTGAAATAAATATATTTATTTTATATTTTAATTTTTAAGTAACGTATTTTTAATTTTTTTTTATATACGCTTGAAAGCAATTGGACTTAAAGCACAATGACGTTTCTTTTATTTGAATTTTTTACTAAATTTTCCTATGATGTTTTTTAAGTAACATATTTTTAATTATTTTTTTTTAAATACGCTTGAAAGAAATGCAGTGGAGAAATTGGACTTAAAGCACAATGACGTTTCTTTTATTTAAATTTTTTACTAAATATTACTAAGATGTTTTGAGTGGTACGAAGATTCAAGTTTAATGTTTTTAGTTAGTTAATTCTGAACGAAACAGAATAAAGTCAATCTTTTTTGACGTGAGAGATTTTTATAATATTGTAATCCGAAATTAATATCACTAACATTTTTAATATGACCAAATTGTAAAATTACCTTTTTGATTCAAAAAACTGTATTTACCTATAAAACAAATAAGGTGTCGCAAAAACATGGACCCAACTACATTTAAACTAAAAAAATATCCTAGAGGAAGTGTAAGCTTTCTTAAAACTTATTAGTGGCTGATGTAAATACATATTGTATAGTTCAACCATAAATTCAAACGAGAGGACTATTACGCGTTTACGCATTTTAAATCTGGTTGTTGTGATTGGCTGATCGCTGCAGGAAAGCTCACATAAGAAACTTCATACTTTGTATAGTTAGTTTTAAGTTCTCGTGCGTCAGTCACAGTTATCGAAATCGGGTTAATTTTCGCAACCTTTACGATTTTTTTTCTGTTGTCCTAAACTAATTTATCTTGCCCACAAATTCAAAGTTTACGGCGCATTATTAGGAACCTCCCCACATGCCAAACTTGATGACAAGAAAAAGAACCGTTGGTACGTTGGTAGCGTGGGAGGAAGGAAACATTGCAAAGATACGCTTCATTGCGGACAGTATGCCCCTTACAACGACCTGTTCCGACATTTAATAAAACACAATGTAGGGTGCTCCATTTTGATGACGATCACGACTTTTTGGCTATTTACAGGGTTATCTTGATGTTTCAATTAAAATGACTTAAAAAAGGGAATTTCTGTGTGATTATTTATAAAAAGACCAATAATAATATCAACTTGTAAAACTATTCATACTTGTATTTGAACAAAAAATAGGACGTACCCGCTGTCTACTTTCCCGCTAACGTGAACGAAACCCATTGCATTTTCGGGTAAAGGTATACCAATAAGTTTGTCATTGATTGTTTTACGTAACATGTACCAATTTCAATGTAACTTTAATTACATATTGTTGATTTTAATAAGCTTACTGGTGGTTGAAATTAATATACGTATTTCTGATACATACTAGCAAAATGTTGAAAAAACCTATCACGCGTAAGCAGTTTTTTTACAAAACGTACTATAAGGACTTACAAAACCTAACAAAACTAAAACAACTTTTAAAACATAGTTTTTGCAGGCATGTGTTAATAAAATATACCACAGAATAAATAGTTTGCAACAATACATTATGTTACAATAGTGACAGTGTTCAATGAATAATTTTAATTAATTCTATGTATATGATTTATGCGCTTAATAACACCGTTTTTTGTTGCACTTGATTCTTTTTTTATTCTTTTATATATTAGTATTTTTATTTTGTTCCTCATTGGATATACAATAATGAAAATGAATTTTTTTTGGGTAATTTTACTCATAGACGAACTTAATCGGAATTTATATTCCGATGGTTTATACCAGGTGTCCAGGTGAGTCTACTTTGTGTGTAGTTTCTTAAAACACCTCTTAGAAAAATTAAATACCTTACACCACTCACTCTGTATTTTATTGTATACACTATACACTAAACTGGTATCTGACCTAACCAAAGAATAGTTTTTTATATGTATGTAGGTATATTTTCAATAAAAAACAGTATTTTATGTGCTAATTGTCAAAAATCCTTAACGAAATTCATTTACAAACATTTAACTGCAGAAAATTATTTGAACAAGTTATCAAAATTTGATTTATATGTAGTTATTAATAAAGCCTGGCTTGGGAAGGCTTTTAATTGCCCGAGGGCCATTATAAATTATCTCCGTGGTTTATATAACGATTTAACTTTAGCCCCAAAGTAATCAAAACTAGTTAACTGGTAGTATTTAGGGTGAAAATTTGGTGATTTTTTCGATAAGTACGCTTATGGGACAAGAATTGGAAAGATTGTCAGCAAAGTGAAGTGCTTTAAAAAGCGTGTGAAAGTGAAGAGGGTCCGGATTAACTAAAATATGAATTTATCAGGCACATAAAAATAAACCAAATACCTTTTGAAAATGGCTCAATAATATGATGCAAACACGCAAGTGAGTAATTGTCTCATTTGAGAACCGAACAGAAGAATTCCCACGATGGACTTTAGATGCATCGACCAAATAGCAATTACTCTAACCGCTGAATACATAATTCAAGCAGAAGCCGGCAAAACGATTAGACACTGCACAATATTATATACATAACATGCTTGAAACATTACAAAAAATTACAGCAAGATCACAAATGATAGTTTACTTGTGCCCCCGTATGTTTTTCAATAATCATGTAAAATGATTAACATTCCATTGCAATAACTTCCGCAAATCGATTACTGGTGTCGATGAAATGTTAGGCACTGTTATTGAACAAATATTTATTAAAAACAAATTTAAAAATTAATAGAATTTTCGCTTAAAAATTAGGTACGAATATATCTTAAAAAGTGGGATCAATGAAATAAAAGGGCATTAGTTTGATCAGTTAACTGATTGCGAAGCTTTTTAATAATGATACGACCCGAAAGAGACGTCAAAATATGCATCAAACAAAAAAATAACAAAATTTTAAAAATAATAAATACAATGTGGAAAAACGAGTATCTCTGGTATCAAACGTTTAAAATTATTGGGTGTATGAATATTATGACAAAAATAACGTAAAAATATTTTTAATAAATACAAAGCTAGTAAGTATTCGTATACATTAACACACGTATGGCATCTAACCATTAGTTTTTGTAGTTGCTGCAATATTTTTAGGGTGGATGTTGTCATTCATCCTGCTTTTTAAAATAAACAAGTTTATTCTAACTCTTATTAGGAAGTACCAGAAGTTTATCCCTATAAACGCGTCCGATGAATATAATACCACACGCGTATTATAAGAGTAACACGTCCTAGGAAAAATTTATTTAAACCGTTTTATATGCTATTATGTTTCCAGTAAATAATAATTACTCAATAAGAAACTCACCTTTGAAAATCCGATGTTGGGTGTTGGTGACTGGTGCAATCCCACATCATGGCATTTGAATGCTGCAACAAATACAGCAAAATAATTGTGAAAATACTACAATAATCTCATCAATAACGGACTCAAATGCTTATTATTATAAAAAGTATTTTGTTAAATAAAAGCCTTAAGGTTATAGAGTAACAATAAAATAAATGCTATTATTATTATCGATATTTATTGTATTTTGTACCTGCCAAAAAATAATAAAGTATTAAATATCTGGCAAACAATTTCCATAACTTTTGCATTCTATTTACCTGGGGGTGAATACTGCTATCAAGTAATCATGTCAGAAATGATTTTACTTGAAATCGATGTAGGAAACCCCACATCCCTCAAGCTAGCATAACTACTGCATACACATAATGTGTAATTTTCTTATGATTTTTTTAAACAATATTGCATGTTTTTATTATTTATCTGCTCGCGGGCCATAATCTTAAATTACGTATGTACATATAATGGTTTATCTAAGTTTATTTAAGTTGCTTGCTATTGAGAAACTTTAAGTTAGTTTGGGATTATTCTTCCTCCTTTAGAAGACAAGGAGATGTAAAAACTATAAAAGGGCTGATAACCCCATTATGCTAACATTAAATAAAAATATTTAATATAAATAATACGTTATGGTGACTTGGCATTTGTAATTCAGGAAAGTCATACAGAACATAGAACAAAAGTAAACAATTAGTAGTTAGTCATTATAAACGTTATTATCCGAATGTGCATATTTAAAAACCGTTACTATTTAGACGAGTTAGTGACACTTTTTAGTTATAGCAGTATTGTTATAATCTGGCATTTATAATTGCACTTATTACATGGCTAATTAGCCGCTCTGTATTCAAATCTACATTAAGGTTGAACAATACCGGGGGTTATTACGTTTCACGAAGACGAGATGGGGCTGATTATCAATTGGGCAACTATGTCTGTCTTCAAAATTATTTTGTAGAAGTGGCGCCACCAAATACAAGTACAAAATAAAGCATTATTCTTCGTGGTTCACATGATCATGGCAAATAAACTAAAAAAAAATCAAAATTCATGACGAAACAATTTCAATTTGTGACATAGGTATTTGGGCAGTCAAAAAGATAAAACCGCATTATAAAAAAACTTATACATATGTATATTCAGTTTTGCTGTAAATGTTAAAAATAATTGGTAAAATAACAGCTAATACTTGACATCTTTCAAAATACAATACATCTGGTCTATTTTTTTTTGTTGAAAGGCACTTAAAACGTTGTTAAGAATATTTGTATTGGGAAATTTTCAATTTAGTATATACCCTTCTTGAAACGCAAAAGGACACAGAAATCACAAGTCGGAAGTAAATGCATAATCTCGGGCCTTATAAACTGATAAAGAACAAAATAATATATAGTAAGTATATTGTATATCTTAATTATGAAACTTCATTAAAAATACCTATCATATTTCGTCAATCTCATTGTAATATTCATCTCTTAAGATAATTATAAGATATAATTTTTGTTCATCAAAAGTTGAGAATTTTTTTATTACTAATCAAAAATGACAAATTTGCAGGTTTTTGGACGACCAAAAAAAAATTTAACTTTGGAAGTCTGTCAAAATCATGGTCATACGTATTAAAACCGTTTAGTCAAATAATCTTTGCAATACTTTCACGAAACTTATAAACTTAAATAGTATGTACTATAAACACATAACATTTACTCATTTTTAGCATATTTACATTTTTATAAAATTTAAATATTGTAGAATTTGAAAAAATCTCTTATACACCGAAATTCATAAATCAAGACAAATTTTATTACTAAATTAACTAAAAGTAATTTTGGACAGTACACAAAATAGATTTGTATACTCATATCTACAAATGAAGACAAGGGCGTCAATTATCCAAAACAATAATAAATAATTCTGCATTTAAACAAAATTTCGTTATTCTAATTTCTATCAGGTAGTTAAGGAGTATTTTAAAAGCATTTTAGTGAAATGTAGGTTCGATAGTTTTATTAGTGTTGGAATAGAAAGTATTAACCAAAATAAATTATAAACGATACATACTAATTAATGGATGTTTTAACAGATAACAACATGATTACTGGTTATTAGAGCCAGTTAGGATACATAACAAATACAAATCCTTTTAAGAACACTTTGATCATGTCGTTCCAAGATTGCACAGAAGCATTTTTAAACGAAAAAGACAATAGCAAACGTTAAATCACGTATTTTGTCTAAATAATGGAAAAGGTTAGATTATCCATTGTTTATTGAAACCGAACTGTGGAATATTAAGTCAATCAATGTCCGTTTTGTGTCTGGTGACAAAATCCTCCATTGATTGGACTGTCAATTAACTCTGCAGCAGACATGTATACGTGCCTGCGAACGCTTCTTATCTGATCCGTATGTCACTTTAAAGACTCTGAAATGTTTATAGAATACTGAAGAATATGTCGAACTGGCGTCATCTATTTGCAATTAGTTATTTCACCCATTAACCCATGGCATTTAAACTATGGCGGATAGGATGTGTTTATTTATCGCATGTTTTCAAGGTAATATGTTCAATTGTACTGTAATGCATGGTTTATGATACTCCTTAGCATCAACAAAATACATGAGGAAACACTCATCTGTTGTTAATAGTTTCCAAATTACAAAATATATTTAAGTATGCTGGTCTTATTAATTCATCAAAACATTTACTTTGGTTTGGCCTAATTCTTAGCCTACATTTCCGTAATTTAAATATTAAAATAGCAGCAGTCTCGAAAAAATCACCTATTTGTAACCACTGCATACTCTCCTCCTTCAACATTGCGGTTTCTCCTCAATTTGCGATATTTATCTTAGAACAATATTGGAAACATATATTAGATTTGGTAGTTAAAGGAGTAATCCATTGAAAAAACTGACGAAATGTATTTAACGACCATCTACTTATCCCGCTATAATTTTCTTTAAATGCAGTCATTAGAATCATTTATCATATTTGCTTGTGTGTCTACCTATACTGTAATTTATATGTACATACAAATATTTTCATAACATTCTCATTATTGATGAGTTGCTGGCGGTTGTCTGTAGCACAAAAAGGGTTTTTATTTACCTATTTTACATCTTCTTTATTAAATACTTTGGATGATATATAATGAAATCTTTGTTGTCAATTTTCAACTTCAATACGATCGTTGTTGCGACCAAGTACTTATTCATATCATATACAGGCTGTTTCACTTAACAACTTCTCAGAGTCATATCAAAGGCACCTCTAGTTTATGTTACACTAATTGTGACTAACTACTATAAAAATTTAATGTTTTTATTTAATTAATTGGCTGAGGAGTTTTAGGTGAGACGCCTGTATATAAATATAGCACGTATGGAAAAAGTCGGTTTGGATCCCGTTGCTGACTTTTCTCATCGGAGTTTTTGAAAAAATAAATACTTTGTAAAAGACTCAGGACTTATAAAACGACAGTAATGTAGTTTATCGGTCTTAGATAGATTTTGAGTTAGGGAATTTTGGAAAAATTTTTGTGCAGAAATTCCCATATTGGCTCAGGGACCCCAGAGCCACCTTCGGTGAAAAATTCAACGGATTGTGTCAAAATTTTGGGTATGTTTGAATAATATCCCGGCAAAGTTTGCATATGAGCAAAACCATTCAAATTGGTTACCTTTATTTTTATTATTATTTTCAGATTGTTTTTGTTTAAAATATGGTAATTTTTTGAAACGCCAGTAGTTTTCAAACTTTTTAAGGAAATAAAGTTTAAAACACTCTTAAAAAAATCATGAGTATTAATAGGTATAAGTAAAAATATTCTATTAACATATAAAAATCTGTGTAACTAACGAAATATAATTATTTAGTTATGGTAGTTTTATGCTACCAAGGTATGTATGTTCAACTGAATAAGGTTTTGTCTTCTTATTCGTTATGATTGTTATAAACGCGCTAAGTTATTGTTTTATACAAATGGCAAAATCTTACATAATAATAGTCAACTATCAAAATACATACCTTGTTGAAAATAATTAGCTTTCCTGACATATACACAGACTAGTGCCATAAGCTGCAGTTGTGAAAGCCTTTGCCTCGTCGATGGTGGTAAAGGTAATAACTCACGCAAATTTGCTATTTCTGCATTTATTAGGTCTCTTCGTAGCTTGCTGGCTCCTTTGGTCGATTTGTTTGCATCAAACCTTCAAAATAACAAATAATCGGATGTCTGATAAACAAAACAAAAGATTCTTTGTAGAAGAAATATTTCTAATTTCATGCAATTATTTTTCGGATCAAGACTTTTTAAACAGTGCTAACTTAATAAATAACTACATAAAATAAAATTAGACATACTTCATTTAATTTCTTATAAAGAAAAGAAAGCGTTTAATTGATTATCGTTTCAAAAGTTTTTGTGTCATAGCTACTGTACCCCAATTCTTATACGAAATAATCGTTTTCACGGCAATGTGTACGGTAATCCACCACGTGCTGTAACAAAAATTTTCATCTATTCAAGCCAAAAAAATTTGTTTCGCACGCTAGGACGTACTCGAATTAAATCGTACAAACAAACAAAGAAAAAAAAATATTTAATTACCTTAATTTTCCACTTCTAATAACTGAATTATCTTTTCTGTTTTCAGTTTAATTTATTAAAGTGAAAAATGTTTTTGAAGACTAAATAAAGTAAGACATTTATTGCGTATAAATAAATAAAACAAACTTACATCCACCAATTTTTAATTCACTGTTAATTATTTTCGAAAACTTCATGAAAAATAGCAATATAATACATAATTAAAAATGAAATTTAAGTTTTCACTTTTACGTTCTTTAAAATTTCATAAATATAATATGAGAATATTATCTACGTACATATAATAATTAGGTAAATCGTATATTTGTTGTTGGTAATTTTTTGAAATATCTCTCGAAAGTCAAAATCTTCTGATCAACGAGTGTGAAGGACGAGTAATATTTGCCTGCACGAGATGTCTATCTAAGAAATTATCGATTTTGAAGCGTACCACAAATAATTTATATTTAGAAAGAAAATACGGTGTGATTTCTATAACTACAAACTTTGAATGCAACCAGTTATACACTTATGTCATTTTTTTATGGTTGAGTGATTGTGGTTCATGTCTGAATTTTTTAAATATACCAGACACCTAATAAAAGACATCAAATCAAATTTAAGTTCCTGGGATCGTATAGTTATATGAATCACCCTGTATAATAAAATATAACACACACGGAAAGGATCTTTGAATTTGAAACAGCTACAAACAACATCCATTAAATTTATTAATATTCATCATCATGACTCAGTTTTCGATAATTAACGGTTAGAGTAAGTGAGCAAGATATCGTTTTTAATGGCTTTTTGTAGTGGCCAGTGTTGATCATTGTTGAAATTTATTTAATAATTAATCATAAATATTTACTGACTATCAATTCATATTCAAATACTATGTATTTTACCTTAATGTTTATAAATAATCTTCCGGTCGCGAACGCCAAGAATTCTCCTTTTATTTTTTATTATTTTGACAACTTCACTTTATATTAGTCAATCTTAAACGAAAGGCATAAGCCATAAGGTTATGCCCCAAGGAGATGTTTAAAGCCCGAGCTTGGAAGATATATAATAAATAAAATAAATAATAAATTAATAATCTAAAAAAGGCCAAAAATTGTTACACATTGCAATAGCTTTGTATATAGGGTGCGCCAGAACTCGCGCCTCAGAGAAAAATGGCATGTAAGGTAAGATACCAGGAACACAGAAAAAATATTAAAAAAATTCTATCTATAAAGATTTTGAAGTTATGAGAGTTTAAATTTTGCACTTTGACTATTTATTTCTGTTGAAAAAATAATTTAACCTTTTCACTCGTAGATAAACAATTTATCGTTTTGTATAATAAATAAATATTATTTTTGTTATTTTTGTAAGTTAATTTGTGTTTTTTTTTTTATGTTTAATTAGGACCTCTTATTGATAAGCAATGCTTTTTTTGCTTTTCACTCCGCCTTCCTTCGTTCCCTTTTCATGGACTAACAAGAAATACCCCCACCCAACTTTGCTCTTTGATTCTATTTTTTTCTGTTGGAAAAGTAATTTTCCAAGTTTTTTTGCTACAGGTTATTAGAAGAGGGAACAAGGAAGGAGTATCCTAAATTGTAACTCTGTTTAATGTTATTTGTGGCTTTTATTGGCAAAATTTTTGTAGTTTTACTAAATAATTGTAAAAAAAAACATATACAAGATGATCAGTATCATTAAATAGACATAAAAAATGTCAAATATCAAAAAATAAATGTCAAAATTTTTTGACAGATAGAATTTTTTAAACATTTTTTCTATGTTCCTGGTATCTTATCTTGCTTGAAATTTTTCTCTGGGGAGCGAGTTTTGGCTCACCTGTATAATAGGACGGATTTGCATAAAGTATTTGTTAAAGATTATTTTTTACTAGAGAAAAAATGTTTTAAATATTTATTTGGAATATATCACGTCACTTACAGTCAAAATTATTTAATTTTTGAACACTTAAGAAAATACTGTGTGCATTTAATTACAAGCCTTTATAAAGGTACTTGGTAACGGTAGGGCATGTAAGTCGCAGCGAACACGATGCCAATCCTTAATAAATCTGCTTGTTAATTACTGGAACCGAGTAGGTATCTCAAGTTCACATGTTAGTACTTGGATTCCTTCTGACAGGCATTGCTAGTGGACGATACCGTTCTAAACCGAGAATAAAAAAGCAGAACATGTTTTTCCGAAGATATCGCAACCTAAGTTTTAAATGAACTTATATTAGGTGTAGGTCAGGTATCTAGGATTGCAGCCAACATCTTTTACCTACTTCCTGTCGTATTCTCTTCACAAGTTCTTTTTTAAAATATATTGTTTCTAATTTGAAGGCTCACCCTCGCGTCAACATTTAACGATATTTGCATGTTTTTCAGTTCCTAATTAAATATAAATTGTTTAGACATTTCAATGTATAAATTTGGGAAGCAAAAACTTATTATTAAAAGTAAAGAAAGATGTTTTGTGCAAGATGTTGTACGAAAATGCACATCTCTCAATGAAACAAACTGCATAATACGCAAATGCAAAAAATAGTTTTTCTGTCAAGTATTTCTTGTACTTTTGTAAGAGAATTTGACTATTTGTAAATAATTGTAGCAATTGGAGTTTGTATACATTATTTCGAGTAGAAACCAGTAAAACGAAGAAACACCCATACATTAACTATTGCACAGTATTCATTATAATTTTAAAGAAAAGTTCTGACCTTTTTCAAAATTGACGCAGTCACCCAAAAAAACCCACATTTCAACCCGACTCTGGTCGCGAAAGCCTACGTTCTTACAGTATTCATTTTAGTTTATAATTTATTAAAATCAAAGATATTTGGTAAAATTTAATTACTTTATTAGTTTTGCGAGTTCTAGGTTCAAATATTACTTGCTTCACATAGTTTTTTAAAAACCTTATATATAATACTGGTGTTAGGTTACAAGGCTTTTTAAAATAGTTTCACGATCTCTACATCTGTAAATTATTCCAAAAGACAATTTCCATCTACTCTTGCCCGAAGTGAAATGTATAAAAATGTACTTGACTCATCGATAAATAGATAATAGCTCAATTTTTTATTCATCTATTGTATTAATGAATTATTATGCGTTCAACTTGTTATTAAGCACTTGCTTTATTCAATTTATTAGATTTTGTACAATTCAATAGGACGCCCGGGTTTTTGATTGTTTAAAATTTTTGAGCACCAGAAAATCAACAAATTGTTCGCACGCAGTTATTTACGATGTTACAGGTTAACTTGAATATTATTTTTTACAAAAAAGTTTAGTTTTTGCTAAAAGAACTGCGATCCGCAGTGAAAAGGTTAAAACCGTGCCTAAATAAATCTTTACGGTTTTATAAACATAACGTCCACAACGAAATTCGATCAAATTTTTTAGTCAGTTATTTGTTTGACTCAAAAATAATTCTCGTAAATCATGCTCGGGAATATATTCTTTGTTACTCAACTTAATTTTAAACAATAATTTCGAATACAAGTAATGTAGTCTGGAATTATTGGAGAGGATTGTTTGTAACGCCTTCTAAAACAGATATCAAGGTTCCTCTTACTAGGCAGGCAATGTTTACAATAATGTAATCCACCTAGATCCGGATACATTCCCACAAAGAATATTCATATTTTTCTGTAATTTAATTTTGGATAATACCAATAAATTCATTTTTTAAACAATGTTCTCGAAATTTTATTTGTGTTAATATGAGCAAAATATATGAGGAAGTATATGAGGGAAATTACTCAAAAGGATAAGAGATTGCATTTTTTCATATTTATTTTCATTGCTATAATCATTATTGTTATTTAAAAAAAAAGTTGTTATTACTATCTAAACTGTTATGTCTTTTTGATTAGTTTTTCTTGTCAAAATTAATTTTAGATTAAGAGATACCAAGATTCAAAACACAAACTTCAAAATAATGTAATGGCACAACTGAGGCCAAAACTAAATACTAGAGGATCTGAGCAGGATTCAAAATCGTTCGTTGCGGATTATTTTGTCTTTCTGTTATTTTATGTACTTTAAAAACATTAAATGATAACTTGATAACTAATAAAATTTAAAATAAAATTAAGACTAATGTGCTTTTTATCTGAGTGTTTATTTATTTTGTCGTAAAAACTGTTTTCAATAGCTATTTGTAAATTTTATGTACATACATACCTACGTAAATATTTTTTGTTATCAATATTAGTTAAAATGAAAATACTTTTTTGATTTCCAATATTGTTTAACGTGCAATAAAAAAATAAAATATTTTTTATGAAAAAAAAAAAACAAAACATATACTTATAGTGTGTCCCAAGAACGTCGGGCTAACTGTCCGTCTTGTAGTATAATTAGCCATACTAAATCTCATAACATACATTTTTCATTAAATAAGTAGCATTCCAAAAAGAGAAAAGACATTGCTTATAGACAAATAATTAAAAACAATTTATACAAAAAAAAAACTGAAAAAAAACATTGTGGCTATAAAACGTCTAAATTGGTTGGTAACAATGGTAATCTAGAAACCGAAACTAGGTAGCTAATTGCCTAAGTTGCCACAAATCATATAAAAAAGCTCAATTTGTTG